ACTATTATAGTATACTATTATTATCGTATTTAGTATAATATTATATATATAATATTAGAGCTACCACCATTTTAGTTACGATCAATTCATTCGAGTTTATCCGATCGTTTGTTGCAAGGTAGTCCTCGCAGGTTTAACAATCTTCGAGTAAAATAAAATGTGAAACCGGTCGACCGATCGGCGCGATAGGTTCGCCGTTTTAGGTTAGAATATTCGATACGCGAGCGCGCACCGTCTGCTTCTCACTTTTCCTTATTCCGAATCAACACCGTTCAACGGCAGGAACGCCGGGTCTAAACTCCCTTAAACTCGGCTTAACCCTCCGCACAGGTTCCCGGCTGATCTGACAGGATACACGCGAAATCTTTTTATAAGCATTCGTAAACAGTCGCGTCGCACACAGCTCGCCGACGAAACAGCATCCGATCTGCGATACGGCGAAGGCTCTATGCGTTACATAGGAAATGCTAACAGCGACATCTACACAAATATCCCGGCGACGTGCGGGCGAAAAGCGAGGCTGCGAGTGCGCCTCGCTGCGTATTCAAAGTACTTGTGTTTCATGTTGAATACCGAATGATCAATTTTTTTATTACGTCCTACTTGCGCCGTGTTGTGAAACGTTACTTGCGACCACTCGCTAGGTTAAGTGAGCTAGCAAGCGCTCGCAAGAATAAGTATAGTTAAATTAGCTCGCGAGAAGAAGTCTGATGTTAGATCGCGGACCTTCGTGCAAAACAAAGATGGCTTCCATCGAATGCAGGACGCAGGAGTCAAATGGAAATTTTGTAAGTGTTTTAAATCGTTTTAATTAGTTAGAATCGATACGTCAATATTCTTAGCTTTTAGCAATCCTTTCACAGTTTTAAATTACACCCACTCGTTCCTGCCATAAGTGCGTAAAATCCGTAGAGGTTAGCTCGCGAGAACAAGTCTGTTTAGATCGCGGATCTTCGTGCAAAATGAAAATGGTTTCCATCAATTGCCAAATGGAATTTTTGCAGGTGTTTTAGATTATTTTAATTAGTAGGAATCGATACATTAATATTGTTAGCTTTTGGCAATCCTTTCGCTGTTTTAAATTACATCCACTCGTTCCTGCCATAAGTACGTAAAATCCGTAGAGGTTAGTTCGCGAGAACAAGTCTGTTTAGATCGCGGATCTTCGTGCAAAATGAAAATGGTTTCCATCAATTGCCAAATGGAATTTTTGCAGGTGTTTTAGATTATTTTAATTAGTAGGAATCGATACATTAATATTGTTAGCTTTTGGCAATCCTTTCGCTGTTTTAAATTACATCCACTCGTTCTTGCCATAAGTGCGTAAAATCCGTAGAGGTTAGCTCGCGAGAACAAGTCTATTTAGATCGCGGATCTTCGTGCAAAATAAAAATGGTTTCCATCAATTGCCAAATGGAAAATTTGCAAGTGTTTTAAATTATTTTAATTAGTTGGAATCGATACGTCAATATTCTTAGCTTTTGGCAATCCTTTCGCTGTTTTAAATTACATCCACTCGTTTCTGCCATAAGTGCGTAAAATCCGCAGTCTACAGGGTGTCCCATAATTATATTAACAGCCGAAAAGAGGTGATTCCTGAGGTCACTGAAATTTTTGTCTCAGAGAGATTGCAATCCGCGGCTTCATTTGTGCGGCTTTGTAAACACTGACCAATGAGAGGCGAGCACGGCTGCCAGTAAGCGGTCGAAGCGCAGTTCCGTTGATTGGCTCGGCCACCTCGCGCCAACTAATTTCGCCTCTCATTGGTCAGCGTTTTTCGTTAATAACTCGTAAACGAAGCCGCGGATCGCATTTTCGCTAAGGAAAAAGTTGCTTCAAATGACCTCAGGAATCGTCTCTTTTCGGCTGTTAACATAATTATAGGACACTCTGTAAAATCATGGCCTTTTTATATTCATTTCGAAGAAAATATTAGAATCGCAGGATAAGCATATGATAGTTTAATTAAATGACATAGACGTTAACAGAATTTTCGGGTTTGATATTGCAATGCTTACCACGTTAAACAAATTGCCCATAAGCGCATCATTACAAAATTGTAAAAGGTTTAAAACAACCATTACTACCGTGAATTTAACCCGTCCAATTCTGGTTCCATTAATTAAACAATTTCATCGTAACATTTACGGGGAATTTATATTTATACAATTCTATTGTATTTCTTTATTTTATAATATTTATACAATTTCAAACCGCCGCACCACGGTCTTTTTATACAAAATAAAAATTGCGATCAGGAATTTCAAGACGCAGGAGCTATGTTCACATTAATTTCATATCTTGATGATTTCAATTAACTTAGGTACAATACAACAGCAGTTCAAACAATTCTCGAATAGTATTACGATCACCTGTTCGTCATTCGTTCACTAATTCGTGTCATAAACGCGCGAAGATCCGCGCGATCACGACGGCTGCGACCACGGTAGCATCGCGAGCCGTGATCCGAGCGGATCCGGCGAGAAGCCGGTGTTAAAAATCGCGAGAATCCATGGAACCGATCGAAGGGATCTCCTGCAGCTCGACGATTAAAGCGTCGGGAAAGAGCGACCGATGATCGGGGCAGGGGGAGGGGGGGAAGGGGGGAGGTAAAACGCGCGCCGAGCCGAGCCGAGCCGCGAGGCGGCACAAAAACACACCCCTTCCGGGGGAGAGTTTAATCCCGACAGGAGTCACGTGAAAATAATTACACCCCGGAGCTGCGTGACTCGTTCAGCGCGCGATAAATCAGAGCACGCAACGCGCGCGCGGGCTTAAACGGCGGACGGGGCTTGCAAGCGCCGGGGCAACACAGAAAATTCGCGGCGACGTTTCCGTCGATCCTTGCCCGGCATCCTGAGCCCTGGCGGCCTTCATTTGCGCGTCCCCCGGCGACGAGAACTATGGGTTTACAGCGTCGATACACACGGGCCAGACCGACGGACAGCATGGCAAAACGAAACAGCATTGCGAAACCGTGCATCGATTTTTGAAGCGTTGGAAAAAAATGGTTTCATTCGAATTGGGTCCATCGTGTGCGAAATATTGTGCAAAAACAGAATGGGTTCATAGTGGTCAGAAGAACGTGAACGTGTGATTGAATGATAGAAACGTTTTTGAGGGGAGAACACTTTGATGATAGAACAATTTAAGGATAAAACAGTTTGGATGATAGAACAGTTTGATGATAAAACGACTTGATAATGGAACTGTTTGGATGATGGAACAGTTTGATAATAGAACAGTTTGGATGATAAAACAATTTGATAATAGAACAGTTTGAATGATGGAACAGTTTGATGATAAAACAATTCGATAATAGAACAGTTTGGATGACAGAACAGTTTAATGCTAAAACAATCTGATAATAGAACAGTGTGGATGATAGAACAATTTTAGGATAAAACAATATTTGATAATAGAACAGTTTGGATGATAAAACAATTTGATAATAGAACAGTTTGGATGACAGAACAGTTTAATGCTAAAACAATCTGATAATAGAACAGTGTGGATGATAGAACAATTTAAGGATAAAACAATATTTAATAATAGAACAGTTTGGATGATAAAACAATTTGATAATAGAACAGTTTGGATGACAGAACAGTTTAATGCTAAAACAATCTGATAATAGAACAGTGTGGATGATAGAACAATTTAAGGATAAAACAGTTTGGTAATAAAACAATTTGATAATAGAACGGTTTGGATGATAGAATAATTTAATGATAAAACAATTTGATAATATAACAGTTTGGATCATAGAACAATTTCATGATAAAACAATTCGATGACTGTACCTTCAAAAAAAATTATATATTTTTACAACGTCTGAAGAAGTTCTTAAAAATGAATCATAATAATCCCAATATAGCATCGATACAATCTTGCATAAAATCCAACTTAACCAAACTAATTATTTCCTCGGTTATTTAACACTTGGACGTCGTAGTTCGGGTCCATATGGACCCAGAATATAAGTATCATCATCTCACTATCTACTTTTCGACGATTAATAAAAATTCTCAACAATTTCTTCAAACCTTCTATAAAATCTAACGCGTCTCGAGGAAGTACCCTAAAAAATACCTTGATAAAAATCTCTAAATAAATTTACAAACGATCCTAAGCAACAGTAAGTTACATTCTCGTCAAAATGGTCCGGCTGTTCGAGGATTAACCCTTTGCACTCAAGTGGCGACTCCGAGGCACCGCTAATATTTGTTATATCACCTTTTAGAATAATTTTGACATTAACAAAGTTTGCATTTGAAAGATTGTTATAATTGATGTGTAATTGTTGCGCGAGTCCCAACAGTCGTTTTTCATATACGCATAAAATGCATTTTCTCATATAAAATCGAAATACTGTAAGTTAGAAAAGCGATTTTATATTTTCAATTCAGAAATCGCTTCGAGCGCAAAGGGTTGATACTTTCATTCGAAGGCTCACTTATCACCGAACGGCGGATCGTTAACGCGTTCACGGCGCGTTCGGATTTCTAAAATGCCACAAAAAGTACGTATCAACAAAATCCAACCGCATCTTCATTCTCTTGTCATTTTCATAGTGGACAGTCGCGAGTTACAATTCTGCTTCGAACGAAATCGAAAACAACGTGAAAATTATGAAAGCATTCAATTGTGAAATCGAACCTGCCTGCACAAAAATATTTATCATTATTACGTTATTACGTTGTTACGTTACAAAATTAGCCGCGTAGCTAGAGCAGCGATCCAGGTGCACGCCGGCGGAAAGGAAGATCGTCGGCTCGCGCGTATCAGCTTATCAGCGGCGCAAAAACAAAAAAGAAAAAACAAAAAAAGAAAACGAAGACGTAGACCGAAAATATTCAAATCGGGCTCGGCCGGAAGCTCGCCTAACTCTCCGCGGGCCGTGCACAATTTCGCCAGGCACAATTTCGTCGCACGGAGAACGTGAACGTGTGCAGTTCGGCGGGGTGCTCGGGTGAAAGGCTAGCGAGGTCAACACTCACCCTCATGGTCGAAGCCTCACATGGTTCGCCCGTTGCCGAAAAACGCCTTCAGCCCGCGGTGGTTCACGGAGCAGCTATCTATCACCCATCCGCCATCCCTGGCCTCGTTCGTTCCCTTCGCGGAAAGCGGGAGAAACGTTTCGACACTGCTGCTGCTGTTGCTGCTGGCACACCGTTCCCTGAGTTTTCACTTTCAAACGGCGGCGCACAGATCCCCGACGGGACAGGAAAAAATAAAATCGACGACGCGGAATAGGTTCGTCACTACGGATAGGACCGTTCGCGCGATCCGCCGGCGGAAAACTGGAACGTAGAGACGTCGCCGATTCGGCGGCGGAGACGCTCGCGCGGACTCGTCTCGGCCCGAAGGGAAGCGTGACCGCGAAAACGCCGAGCGGAGCGGAACGAGACCGGGCGAGATGCGAGGTCGTGGCCCGGCAGCCGGCGACTGGCTGCTGCTGCTGCTGCTAGAAAGCTCCCAAGCTCGCCAAGCTCGGAGCCAGTCGGCCTGCCTGCCTGCCTGCCTGCCTGGCTAGGCGCAAGCTCCCTGCTCGGCCTCCAAAACACCACCCCCTCCCCTCTCGCCGCGCGCGCCGGAACCCTCCTACCCGGTTGCCCCTGAATTTCTTCGCCGTGTCACAGAGAAAAATGCTGCGTGGGGCTACGTACACTGGCCGAAAAAAAGTGATCGGTGTAGACGGCTTTTAAAACGCGATCACTTTTTCGAAATTGAAGCCGAATGAATTGTTTTTAGAGGGATTCATCTGTTAGACGGTGACTGAAAAGAGTTTTCTTTTTTTTTTAATTTTGCTGTTGCTTGGAGTGAAAAGAAGTAATTGAGATGCCGCGTTTTTGAACGTTTTCATCTGAGCCTGAACATTTGAGAAATGATTTTTGAAGATCTAGGTAATTTGTAAGCGTGCTGAAACTTTTTTCTAATTAATTGTAATTAATTTCAAGTAATATATATATTAATAATAATATATGCTAATATATATATTACAAGTTACAACAAATT